TTCTCACCAGGCTATGCAGGTGCTATAAAAGCCCGGGACTTTGCACTTACTGAAGCTCCCACGCTGATAGACACTATAATGATGTGATAGATATAAACCTAAAGCTTTGGTTACATATGTCTTAGTTTTTCTGCTATTAATTTTGTTTTAAAATGTACATAAGTAATCCCACTTAAATCAATTGAATTAATTAGGTGATTGGAATTGGGACATTAGCCAGCAAGTGCGGGAAGTAGACAAGCAATAGTTGCTTATGATAGTCTTCATTTTCTAATATTGTTTTGTAATAGAATACTTCCTTTAGAAACTTGATTAAAAGGACAGGCACAGTTCTTTTTTTTCTTCTATCATGAAGTGTAGATTGCAAAATATATTTAAAAGGTAGAATAGTTGCAGAGTGATCTCAGTGAAATTTTGCAGATTCAAAAGGCTTTCAGAATGCTCTGTGTTAGGATTCTTTAAAATGAAAAAAGGAACATTTGCAGAAGTGAGTATTCTGAAGTTCATCAGAGAAARCTGAGAAAAATGGTACAAACTTACTTCTGGAGGAAATGAAAAATATTGCAATGCTTTGAATAACCACTACTAGCACTGCTATAAAAATTACCTAGTTCATGGCAAGCCCTAACATATTGCGCATTAGGGGTTTGATCAGTGGAATTGTCCTGAAGGTGTTAAGCAGTGTTGAAACTCATTTGTAATACTTCAAAAATGCAATCATAAACTGCACATTTCATTTGGAAGAGCATATTTTATCTCAGTTGCACTGTATGTTATTTCCTATGAATAAGAATTAGCTTGTGCAATTTGCAAGTCAAGGGCACAGGGTGTTTTTCTTCGACGGCTGGTAGGTCATTGGGCATCTGAAGATCGCTGAAGGCCATGAACACCGAGTGGTCTCTGAGAGGAGCAGCTGCAGGGAGAGACCAAGACGCGCTTTGCCCTCTCACAGGACGAGGCTGGTGGGTTCTTTCTCCCGAACGGTCTAACTGTCCCTGGCAGCTGGAGGAATTGCACAGCATCTGCAGTGAACTAGCAGGTAGGCTGCGGCATGTAACATCATGGCAGGCACACGTAAACGTGGCAGGGAATGCGGGAGTGCAGAAGCAGCTCAGCGAGGTGCTTGGCTTCGTCCCAAAGGCAATGCC